GCGTACTGTGGAAAAAGAAGGACATCATGGATAACCCTGAAAGTCCTCTTTAAAAGATTGTGAAAACTATTTCAAAAGCAGAAAGTATGGTGTGCTGCTGCTGTTGTTTTCTGGTCCTTTCATCTCCATTGCCTTTAACCAATGTCCCTGTCACTGCAGATAGAAAGCATGCCACCAGCATGACACTGTCACCAAGAGCTTCCTCCATACATCCCTCTATAGATGGCGGTAAAACACAAACAGGACCTTTTGTTGCTTTCTTCTTGCCCCTCTTCCAAACAGCTGTGCTTTGTAGAGCTGGCCACCTAGCAGTTCTCCTGTCAATAGATGTGCTGATCTCAGCTGCAGCTCCTCCAGTTACCAGTAACTTCTGGGCTGCCCTAGACGTAAATCTGCACCATATTCTATGTTACAGACATTTTGCATAAGTGTAAGTTACACATTTTAGCATTTACAAAAAATAAAGGCTTTAATTTTCCTTCCAACTCACGTTTATTTATTTAACTACTTCACCTCAGTGCCTCACAAACATCTTTAAAATGCACCAAAGTATCCACAAAAAGTCTTGGTTTATGAATCTAAGAGGTTTGAACACATTTCCAAGACACAGCTAGTTATTAGAGATATGTGCAAAAACCACGTGATCACACATGGAAATGATTTGGTGGGTTAGACTTTGCTGTTAATAAGCAGTGAGGGAGTGTTTACAACCAGGGACAGGTGTTTGCACAGGTGGCCTCCCAAAAGCCGGAAGTGAACACCACATATAGTGGTTATAAAAGTATATTTTCAAACATCCCATTATTGGAATAAATGTAATTCTCATTTATTAAATAGAAAGTCACAAATCATATAAAAATAATTATCTTAGCAACACTTTTTCAGTGTGGAACATTATGCCACATGTACAAAAAAAAAGAAAAGAGGATTAAAGAAATAAACACTTAGCAAAAGCATTTGTCAGAACCTTTGAGTTTTTGCATATTTCACAACAGCTATAAATGTGCTGTTGTGAAAAAGGATAACTGTCAGACTGGGTGAGCAAGTGGGAGGGGGTGACACCATGTTGCCATGATTTAGCAAACACTTGACTGTTAGCTAGCTTTTACCTGCTCTTTGCAGCTTTAATTATCCTTATTAAAGAAACCGACAGTTTTATAACATTTTAACGCCAAACCAAACAGCTCCCACATTGAAAGTACAACAAAAACCTGTTAGCAGATGCTAACTTAGAAGATATTGAAGCAGTTGGCTATGCTAACATGATAATGCAGCTCTGCTCAGCAGTGTTAGCTAATGAGACTAGCCTGTTAATAATACACAGCGGTGTCTTTGCTGCTTCCCTGTGTCCCGCTTTTGGACTTAGCGTTAGCAGCAACCTTTAGCTGATGACCGTTAAAGCTAATGCAACCCTAGAGCAGCGGCTAGCGGGCTAGCTAAGTTTCTCGTGACCAGTGAAATACGATAAATGGGCTAGCAAGTGGCAACGTTAGCTGGTCAGATTACATAACAAAATCCCTGCCAGACAGGCTCAGACAACATCCTCCATGTCTGCAGCCAGGAGCCCTGATACTACCCACCTCCACTTGTGCCTCCAGCTTGCCGTCAAACGTGAAGTCGATCAGGTCCGGCCTCAGACATAAGCCGTAGTTGACAGGGTAAACGTCAGTAGGTAGCCGCACGAAGGGCCTTCTTTCGGGCATGGTTCCTGTATTTTGGCCGCTTGCGCTACTGAAGAGGGAAATGTGTGGAGCTCTGTTTATTTGTCCGAGCTTTATCAACACGGAACTGATCCAACTGGGCTTCGGTAGCGCGGATGGACAGGAGGTGACTGTACGGGTGAGAAGCAGCGGAACCGAGCGCCCCAGGAGCAGCAACATGGACTGAAGCCCTTTCAACACTACTCTTCGCTGCTGCACAGCCCAAACAACTTCACTCAATCAGCGTCGACTTCAACGGAGGCGACGTCATCACGCTTCGACCTACGTGCTGAACGTGTGTGTGGAAGAGGCAGTGGAGTAAACAGACTTTATTTATTTATTCATTCACACATGGGGCTTTATCTGGAGGAGGATAGATTTAAAATAGTAAATCTAGACTTAGACTAACTCAAAAATTATAATAAATTTTACTGATTTTAAAATTTTATTTCAATGTAGCATGAGAAAAAAGTCATAATTCTGATTTTAATCTCATAATTCTGACTTTAATCTCACAATTCTGACCTTAATCACAGAATTCCGACTTTTTTCCTCAGAATTCTGACCTTAATCTCAGAATTCTGACTTTTTTCCTCACAATTCTGATTTTAAACTCAGAATTCTGACTTTAAGAGACACTTTTGTGAAAAAAAAGTCAGAATTCTTTGAAAAACTCAGAATTCTGACTTTTTTTCACAATTCTGATTCTAGTCCTAGAATTCCAACTTTATTCTGTGAATTCTGACTTTAATCTCAGGATTCTGACTTTAATCTCATAATTCTGACTTTAATCACAGAATTCCGACTTTTTTCAAAGAATTCTGACTTTAATCTCAGGATTCTGACTTTAATCTCACAATTCTGACTTTAATCACAGAATTCTGACTTTTTTCCTCAGAATTCTGACTTTAATCTCAGGATTCTGACTTTAATCTCACAATTCTGACTTTAATCACAGAATTCCGACTTTTTTCCTCAGAATTCTGACTTTAATCTCACAATTCTGACTTTAATCACAGAATTCCGACATTTTTCCTCAGAATTCTGACTTTAATCTCACAATTCTGACTTTAATCACAGAATTCCGACTTTTTTCCTCAGAATTCTAACTTTAATCTCAGGATTCTGACTTTTTTCCTCACAATTCTGACTTTAATCTCAGAATTCTGACTTTAAGAGACACTTTTGTGAAAAAAAAGTCAGAATTCTGACTTTTTTTCACAATTCTGACTTTAATCCTAGAATTCCGACTTTAATCTCAGAATTCTGACTTTTTCCACACAGTTCTGGCTTTAACCTCAGAATTCCGACTTTAATCTCAGAATTCTGTCTGAATTCTGACAGCTAACAAACACGTTAGCATCAAGCTGTAGCCATGTCTGTTTTATAGACTAGCTTTCTTGTTTTAATCACCTTTTGCTCTTCCATTAATGAAATAGCATCACCAGGGACCCCTCGGGCATGTAAAAAGTCGCCTAATTCCGTCATTTTCCACCAAGGTGTTACTGGCCCTCCCAAACAACTCACATCTTTGTCAGTGAAGCTGAGTGCTCCACATCTCTTCCTTCATGGTGACCATCTACATTAAGATCCAAAATTCTAAGATTAAAGTCAGAATTCTGACTTTTTTCCTATATTAAACTGAAATAATATTTAAAAATCAGTTAACTTTTTTATGTTTCAATCCTCTTCTGTTGTTTTAGCAGGATTGTATGTTGAATGAATTTTTACTTTGAATAGTTCCATAACACTAACATTAGGTCTAATTTTGTAGAATATTTAGTGATTGTTCACAATTTTCATAATCTTTTGTGTTTAAAACTTTGGAGGTCAAGCTTGTGTTCACTTTTTTAAATGATGACTATTTATCTACTATTATCATACATTTTACTGTACTTGGGAATAAAAATTTTTCAATCAGTTGTTTTATTTTATGATTTTTTTTCCATTTTAACATGTTTAATTTTAAAATGTATAGCGCAACAGTCTTTTTAGGGTTACGAAAATAATTTGTTTTGTACATGTATTAAAATGTACCCCTTAGAAAATATAATGTAAATGTTATAGCAATTGACTGGTAAAAAACAGAAAGGGTCATCAATGTAACAAAACTAGACTTCAACATATATCACTAAACATGTCCAGTTTGACCTGTTCCTGTTTTAGCATTTTTTTCCACAGATGATTAAAATAAAAATGATTATCAGTTATGTCCCAAAATGTACATGTGTATTTATTCTCTTTTTTATAAATTTAAAATAGTAAATTTAGACTTAGACTAACTTTATTGTCATTTTGTATAGACAGAGTGAACACTCGTTAGATACAGCTTTCTGACCGTAAATGAGCAGCAGCTTAGCAGTTAAAATTAACATTTCCATTCATAAAGTGCAGCATTTATCAAATGTAAACAGTGTAGGAGAGACATGGTGCAGAAAGGCATTGATGTGGAAGATCAGAGCAGCGCAAAAATAAATAAATATGGTGGAAAAATGCAGTAGAAGATAGTTGAGTTGAGTTCTATTAGGTATGATGTTATCATTCTGATGCAGAGTCTGTGACTTGATTTAGAGTTTTTTCAACAGTTTAACAGTATGATGGCTCTTGGGATAAGCTGTTACAGAACCTGCTGGTCCTGTAACAGGATATAACATAACAGTAACTAGAACAGTGAAAACATAATATTAGAAGAAACGAGAAGAGAAAAAAGACCATAAATCCTCCTCACCCCCTTTAATTCTCTATATGGCAGCTGGACCATGTGACGGGAAAGCTCAGATAGGGCTGAATAATTTTTAAACTAAACTTATACAATATCATTATTATTCACTGTTAAAATAAAAATCTAATCCTTGTAAACTGTCTGCCAATATATTTGATTTTATATGTTCTTGCCTGTCTTGTAAGATGATAAAATGTAAGAATTTAATATGTATCTTTGATAGTGATTGCATGTTTTTTGTTATTTGCAAACTGATATTAGAACCAGACCAAATTAGAACTGCTATTTACTGCCCTATTTGTTTTACTTATTATTTAGTATTATTTTTTTTTCCGGTTGCATAACTCCTCAAACATGCCTGATTTCTTGACGTTTATATAAAAACACATTTGTTTATATCACGAAATGTATTTATATTGACATGACAAAATTGTTGAACTTTTAATAAACACATGTTTGTTGTCGATGTGTTTGTTAAATACCCTTTATGTCATTAATGTTTACAGTATTTATTTTCTTCTAAAGTAGACGGACACTTCGTTAAATGTCTAATAATTTGAAATGTGGAGCTTTTGAAAGTTTTATTCCGGAAGTTATTTTCCTCCTTCCGGGCCAATGATAACGGGCAAGATGGCGGCATCCATAACGAGGACGTTTGGGGTTCTTCGTAACGCTTCATGCAGCAGTTTAAAGGTACTGTGACATTAAATTATGTTTTATTAATAAAGTTGGAACATTTAGAAAGATTGTTCTTCTTGTTTATAAACAGCGAATAGAGGCTGACAGGGAGGACTGTTGGCTTTAAAGGTTTCACACATCATGAGCCTCCAAGCATCAACATGGAAAGCTCACATAGAATCAAGATTTTGGTTTGAAAACTATAAACCTAGATGTTAATTGGCCCCCATAGAACATCATTATAAAGCTAGAGCCAAAATGGCCGCTTCAATGATTCCAGGGTACATTCACTGGGACGTAATTTTAAGTTGTTTTGGCTTTCAAGGTTTCCATGTTTTTCACTGCAGCTATCCTCCATAGCTCCCATTCCACTTCAGAATAGATTGTACACTGAAAAAAGACTAAAACATTTGTTTCTCCCACTCTGCTGTTTCTGATTGATCTCCTTATTGATGATCCTCATTGATCAGTTCTGGTTCTTATCTTTTCTAAACAAACACAACTAATCAGCAGGACATTCATAAAGCAAGTAGCTCATAGATGCTTTAACATCCATAAGGTTTGTCTTTACGCTAATGTGCTTTCTGACTGGTCTGACGTCCAGTCATTTAGCTTCAGGAGGAAGAGGTGGTGGTTCTAGTTGCTCCTCAGCCTCACTGGCTGCAGGAGGTCAGTCAGCTGACAGGTGGAGGTCAGCACCGTGAGCATCAAAGGATTTCATGACAACAGACTGGAAACAGGAACTCGGTTGGATGTGAAGTTATTCCTTCTCTCTACAAACTGCTCTGTAGGAAGCAGTTTCATCACAGAAAGATTTGTGGGCGTTAGCTTAGTTGAAGTTTTCTCTGCAGATAAACAAACGGGTAAGGCTGCAGCACAGCCCTCACCTCTTGGCCTCTTACCTTTCAAAATAAAACCTAACATAACAATCATCATTACTTGTCCTTTTTATCCTGTTTTGCATCATATTCTGTGAGCCATCACCAGTCTGCTGCGTACTAACCCTAACTTCACGCTTGTCTCGTACTTAAACCTAAGCTTTGAGTCAAACTTTAAAACATCTCTTGAAACAACGTTCCTATATTTCCTTTTTTTTTTCATTAACACCAATTACATGGTAGAGAATCAGATAAAACCAAACATTTGACCACCTACAGGAAGGAAAAGTTATGATATGTAAGAGAATGGAAATATGGTCAGTAATTTTAAGAATTAACAGTTAAAATTGAATCCGTACATATCAGAATTACTATTACAGATATATACAGCATGTGATTTGGACTCCTAGTAATGTCATTATGACTAATGTGAATTTTATTTAAGATCTTTTTAATCCCATTGGGACAAAACAGAACAAATATCAGATATAACATCATTGTTATGAGTCAAAACTAAGGGAACAGTCAAAATCTATTTACAGATGTTTTGAATCAGAGTTTGGTTTCAGGAAAATTTGTTTGCAAATATCAGTGATAAACCGCAATTCTACCTATTAAATGTTAAAACAGCTTTCCATAGTAACTGCATAAAGTGGGCCTAAGGGGTCTATGATATATGTCTAAGATGGCTCAGTGCTGGTGGAGTTAAACAGTGGCTGTTACAGTTTAAATGGTTCTTTGATTCAAACAGAACATGCTCTCATCATCATTAACCGGTTCTTCAGTAAACTGAATAAAGCAGTCACTGTTTTCCAACTTTAATCTATTTATTGTTTTTCAATAATTCTCTGGTCTGAAGATGTTTTTTATCTTCCCTCCCACAGAATTCAGAGTTAATTCTGGATATACGGCACCCTGGCCCGCTTTTCTTGCCGGTTCGGACCAAGAAGAGGTACTTTATCCCCCCCGCAGTGGGTTTGAAGGGGAAGAAGGAGGAAAACCCAGAGGCGAAGGCCCGGGCAGCGGGGATCGTCTTCAGACAGCAGTACTTTGAGAGACCCATCAACATCGCCTGCTCAGGTAAACTTAGCGAATGTGAATGTGTGACCCTGACCGCTCTGTGGAAAACGTTTTATTATTGAACATCGCATCTTGTTGTCCATGCTACCGTTGTTCTCCTCAGCGGGGGTGTTTGACCCATACGTCCCTCCAGAAGGAGACGCCCGTCTCTCCTCTCTGTCCAAAGAAGGCCTGAAACAGCGAACAGAACAGCTACGACAGAGCGCCGCCTCGCAGCTGGCGTAAGATCTGCTGCTGATGCTTTCTACTCCAGCGTGAGTCGATGTTTATAGAAAACGGTTTGGGTCAAACTAAGAATTCCCATCTTGTTTCAGGATTCGTAAAATCAAAGAGCACGACTCGCAGTTCAGCACCAAGACGTTCGCAGAGCAAGCTCAAGAGATCTTCATAGAGGCTCACGACGCCCTGACACAGTAAGGAGATGAACTCTCCCCTCCTTCCCCCCCACAGGCAGCTGATACACGCTCAGGCAGAATCATACCTTTATGACACAGAGGGGTGTGTTCGAAGCTGGAGGTTTACTCCCGCTGCTCTCAGATCTGCTGATAAAACATTGTTGATAGCGTCATAATAAACAAAGATAAACAGTTTATAAGGACCATTCTGGGTCAGTGACTCTGTTTGCCTTCAGCTGCAATGTTTTCCTGTACATTTCCACTTGTTTTAATGTGGGACATGCAGCAGCTGCAGAGCCTCTCGCTCACCTGCAGGAGTTCTGTAGGTCTGAGTCAGAGCAGCAGCACAATATTCTCACTGCAAGCTGGAATGTTATTAGCTTCATGCTGATCTATTTAATTTAAATGTTAAAAAGCTATTATTTTTACTACTGATGAAATAAAACAATTCCTTTTTGTTATATGATACAGTAAGGCAGTGGTTGTTTAGTGAGGCTGTCTGCTCAGGAAGCAAGGCTGCAGGAACCTGGGAGCTTCCCAGCAGTAAATCAGGGCTGCTTTTAAAATGTTGGAAGTATTTAACTGTGGATCTATCCATCTAAGAAAGGAAAGTTGTTGTGGTTCTGCAGCCAGCTGACCAGCAGTGGCAGCAACATGCTGGGGGACTGATTTTTAGTTGCTTTCTAGGACTCCCTCTGGCATCTTGTTGAAAGATTTCAAGGAAGGACAGAAAATGATGAAACTTTTTAAAGGCTTGCCTTCAGCACTGGGAAGCTGCCTTCCATATAGTTTAAATGCAGGATAATCAGGTTCCACTCACTGTCTTCTACTCTGCAGAGTCTAAATTAATTCATTTTTATTTTCTGTATCAATCTTACATTATTTATTAGTTGACCCTAATAAAAAAAAAGAAAAATTTTTTTTTTTTCCTTCGATAAAATTATAACAAAAAATAGAGATCAGTTATTTTAAATGTGCATTTTCTGTGGAGCTACTTCAGTGACAGCTTGCATTGGCATGGAATGTGAGATTTGGGAACACTAAACCTGGTGTGCCAATAAAAACACTGAACCAGATCACTGAGCAGCAGTAATGATGAATGCCACTGCCTCTTCTGTTTAGACAGAACAGGGGATTCCTCCATCTCTCTGTTATTATCTCTTTAGTGCAGGAAGCCGACAGTAACCTGACCCTATCATGAAAGAAAAAAACTGCACAGCCATTAGCAGCTGCTTGCAAAGCTGCCACTGAGACACTTTAAAAACCATCAGGATGTCTGATAGGAGCCACATGAGGATGAACCCATCAGATTGGATCATCCGTCCTGCAGTGTAGCTGTAGCATTAGTTACTGAATGTTTTTGGATGGGCTGACGTGTCAGCGGTGTTGTTGGTTTCCTGTTCTTTATTGTTGGTGTTAAACTGAAGGAAATCAATGTCCCTGGTTTTCTTATTGAAGTAACACTTTCTTTTACAGTGTATAAATAACCATGTAATGACATGGTAATAACATAGCAAGTTACACTATTATACTTGGTAACAAGAAAAACATGATGTGGTAATTACCCCAAAATCAAGGTACAGTATATTCTTTGAAAGTAATTACCTGCATGTAATTAACACAATTGTTTGTTATAATATCACAATGGAGACCTTTGGTGGGTATTTACCATTATGTTACCGCATAACAGCAAATTGTAACTTATGATAATATATAAGGTAACTAAAGCATTAAAAAACTGAAAAAGTTAATATAACTTAGAGTTTAGTTAAGAAGACTGGCTCGCTGTCTTCTAGGTTTGGTTTTTTGTTATATTCAATTTAATTCAGTTTATTTCTATAGCGCCAATTCACAACACTTCATCTCAAGGACTGTACAGTTCACCAGATCGTCCAGTCAAATTGATTCAAAGTTTTCTATCTAAGGAAAATCAGCTGATTGCATCGACTCATTGACTGTCCAACAATACCTCACACTCAGCATGCTTGTAGCGACAGTGGAGAGGAAAAACTCCCTTTGAACAGGAAGAAACCTCCAGCAGAACCAGGCTCAGTGTGAGCGGCCATCTGCTGAGGCCCACTGGGGTTCAAGGAGACAGAAGCAGACATAGAAAAAGAAGCTTAGATACAAAAGGCAACTGTCAACCAGCTCCACAGGCGGCCCCGTCCAGGAAACACACAGCATGACCGATGCATGTCCGAGGATGAAGAGAGCACACCCAGTTAGTCGCAGTCAGAGAAACAGGTCTACACTGAAAAACAGGCTGATCTATAAACAAAGGCGTTGATGGCAGCAGCACAGCTGATATTTCTCTCCAGGATGGAGTCACAGCCAAACAGGAACAGACCAGATGAAGCTACTATGAGAAAAAGCAGAGAGAGCAGAACGTTAGAGATTGAACTAACAGATTCTGCAGAGTGGGAGAATAGAGATAGAATGAAGCAGAATGATGAAAAAGGTCCAAGTAACATATGTCACGCAATAACTTGCATTTTACTAGATACTGTAAAAACAGGTTAATTTATTGCTGTAAATAAAATGAATATGAGTTACCTGGCAATAAGTGTAACTATAAGTAATATAGTGTAAGTTATGTTATTACCATGTTATTACATGGTTATAGATGTACTGTAAAAGGAAGCATTACCTTTATTGCCATAGATATTTGATAAATCATTTTAGAAAACAGGGAACCAGTAAGAACGACTGATGGCTCCTTCTTCCATCTTGGCTCCATTCAAACCAGCCGTTTTCTGGTCTCCATCAGGACGTTTGGATTTGATGACGTTTGTTCTTGTTTTGCAGCTTCAATAAGGAGAGGCTTCATTCTCTGGTCACAGAAAGATGTTACCCTGTAAGTTCCTCTTCTTCTTGTAAAATCTTCCTTCAGTCCTCACCTCTTTGTCCTAACTGCTGCCGTCTCTGTCGCTGTGTCTTCAGGAAATGACGAGAGGAAACCGCTACAAGACGATCCGCTGGAAGTTCGTGGAGTCTCTGGAACCGCCCAGGGTGGTGCACGCCCGCTGCCCCGACATGGTCACTAAAGGGAACCTGTACGGGCAGGTCACGGTCCGCATGCACTCCAAGCAGGTAAGACTTTAAACTAGCGGTGATGCACCCGTTATTATACGGGCCGACAAACAGCTGGTTAAAGTGAAGTTAATTCTCTAGAGGTGTGATTACTGGACAGGGTTCTGTTGGTTCTGATCATGTTGATCTGTTGGTAGACTTTAGCCATCTATGACCGCTTCGGGAGGCTGATGCTTGGCAGCGAGGAGCAGCCGAAGGACGTCCTGGAGTACCTGGTCATTGAGCGGCACCTGATCAACCCCTACAGCAGGTGGAGGCTCCACGGGAAAATCGTTCCCTCGTGGGCTCCGCCCAAAGACCCAGTTATTAAGGTAACAAACACTTTACTCTAGTTTTATACTGGAAACTTTATTTAAAGCATCAATGTATAGTGTGGGTTTTTCAAAAGAGTTCTACACCAGTGGCTCTCTCTGGCTAAATTATGGTCCCTCATTGATTTATTATATTTAATTTCTGTGTATTACACAAAATAATGATCATAGGACCACATGACTGGATGTGCAACATGGTGTATGAAAGTAATAAGTAAACAAAATAAATAAAAATATTAAGATTAGATTTTTTGTGGAAAAGCATAAAAATGTTTGATGCTGAGGTGTTTATTGAAGCAGGAGCTAAAGCTGCAGAAGCTGCACTGCTGATAGATGTGCTGCCAGCAGATGAAAACAGCGTAAAACAATGTTTGTTTATGCGGATTGAACCTGTGGTAAAAAAAAAAACTCTTAATAGGTCTAAAATGAACAAAGTAAATTTAGCTTATTTGGCAAATGCAGATTTATTTTAACATGAATTTCTAGTTTTTGGTGATTTCTTTACAGGTTCAGTTCCTGTCAGGTCCCCTTTAAAAGGAAACCCTTTCAGTTCCCATGTGTTTCAGGAGTAATTAAAACTATTTCTTATCAAGCACAGCATCTTAAAGAAGTCCAAAAATGGTGTTTATGTGCACCATTCTTCTGAAATGATCTTTAAATTCAGGTTTAAACTTTTTTTTTTCTTGCTGAGACTTTGGCCTGTGGGTGTGCTTGTTCATGTGGATGTACCTTTAGCAACATTAGCAGTTAGCCATGCCTGGTTTCCCATTGTTTCTTATTGGGAAGCAATAGGAAACTAACCCAATGGGTTTCCGGATAGACGAGTCAGAGTACCTCCACCTCACTGCGGAGCTGAGTCCCACCTGGTTTTTAGACGTATAGTGTGAGCAGGTAGATCGCATCAGAGCGTCGGGCCGCACAGTGTGAGAACATATATCGTGAGCTGTGAACTCACACTGTACGATGAAATCCTATGGTTTCGTCATACAGTGTGAGCTGCAGCTGCGTGCAACAATTGAAAAATCACAGTGTATGCCCGGCTTTACCGACTGCCTGCAGGTGAGTCCCTGACTGGTGGAATAGAGGCGACCGTGGTGATAGAAAGCCTGGCTAACGTTATCATCCTGCCAGAACTGACATCAATACAGGAGGAAGACCATAGATTGCGCTCTGTGGAGGGTGTCCTGTTCTGGGCTTAGGCTTAGATATTAGTTCAGGGTTTCTACAGGATGGTAAAATGTTTTGCCACCTTTTAGAATGAACCCAAATTAAGGCCTTTGAAATGTAATAAAAGGTAACAAACAGAACTGAACTAGGTGGTAAATGTTTTTGTCACCTCTCCATATATTCTGTCTCTTCCATTGATGATGAGCTTTTTTGTTTCAAGTTCAGTTCTCTATAAAATGTGTAATAAAGTTATAGCTATAGGCAGCAGGAAGTGAGCTGATGTTAATAGACTCAATAGGTCCTGCTGGCTGCTATGCAATGCAGTGCTTGGACTGCCTATACTGTCATTGTGAGCCCCACCAAGGTTGAACTGAAGTGATTTTAGGAAACCAATTGCCTTAAAAATGTTTGCTTATTAACTCAGCTTATTTAGTCTAATAGAGAAATTCAAGTAATTACAATAAATATTTTGTTACACTAACATTGGTTTCAAAAATGTACTGTTTAATTCCTTAAACTGAACTAAAGACCAGTAAGATTCCTTCATTTAAATGTATTTTTTTTTATTGTTATATCAGTTGGACTTTAGTTCTCAGCCTTTTGGACATAAGGAGAAGTTTAACTCTTTGGTTTTCTGTTTTCAATTCAGCTTTAGTATGGAAATTATTTTATTATACTATCCTGCGCCTGTTAACTATTACCATTAATCAATATACTGGGTAGTAGTGATGTGTCCAGCTCATAGAGTATACCATGTGTCTGTGCACGCATCGCTTCAAGTCACATGACTGATACGGGAGCTGGTTCAAACTGACTGAAGCACTGAACTGTGTTTTTTAGCACATCTGTCAATGGGATGCATCTGCCGAAAATAATCTCTGATCTTAAATTCATCAAGAAATATGGAGCAGCTTTAAGGCAATAAGAAAGGATTCTGATCATTTTGATCTCATATTTGTTTTAAATTTCTTTTTTTTTTTTGTCGTCCTGCTCCTCTTAATTATGCGGCAAAGTCTCTGAATTTAAATCGATTTGAAATTGACTCTTAGTTTAGTGTAGCGCTGAAAGAATCAGATTAATCAATTATTGAAATAATCATCAACTCATTTACTAATCGATTCATTGTTAACTAGAGCAATAGAGACTGTAAAACCTGCCTTTAGCTGACAGAGGGACAGGAATTTACCAAGATTGTAAGAAAATATATAAACATTTGGCATTTAAGATAGAAAATGTGTTTCATCTGTTTGGCTATCTGATTAGAGCTCTGTCAGATCACATGATATCATCTGGTTCATTTTCTATATGCATCATTAAACACACATCTTCGCCTCCTTCCTGCAGACGGTCGCCATTCCTGGTCCAGAGCTGAAGCCGTGGGAAGAGTTTGATCCCCTCAGCTATGAAGTTCCCAAACCAGCAGCCGTACAGTGGAATAAGTAGGTCAGCAGGGGGCCCCAGTCTCTGGGTTAAACATTTAGGAGGACGTGTTGATCAATAAGTGGAAGAAGAAAGAAACTATGCTTAATTTCTTTCTGCTGTATTTTGAGATATCTGAAGAAAGATGAGCTTCGGTTCAATAACCAGCAACATTCTGAAGCTTCTGTATCATCAAATAACCTTCAATGAATATATCTTCTGTTCACACGTTTAAATTGTTCCTGTGGGAATCATTTTCCATGTACATGTAAGAAATGAAAATGCACAGAAGTGTAGAGTTGAGTGGTTTAATACTGCATTGAATATACAGGATGCCAACATGTGCAAAGGAAAATAAACAGATATTGCTGATAACAATTGTCCCAGCTGCTTTTCTTCACAAAGCTACACGTGAGCTCACTTCATGGACTGTGATGCAATAATATATTCAATATATATAATATATTCGGTTCTGATTTTGTTGCGCATGGTCTTTCGCTTTCTATGGATACCTGCCGGAGCCACTTTTCACAGGGATGTTGTAATCTATGGGGATCAAACTTTGGCCCAATCGTTACACTACACCCTCTATGGAGTGTGTACCTGGTTGAAGGGCACGTAAGGTTCTGGTAAGCTGGTTACAAGCATGGAAAAGTTCTGAGACAGAACTGGTTCCATCATCAATCCTCACCTCTGCGACGTAACTGTGGCGTCAAAATTAGTGAGACCTGTCTCTGTTTTTGCAATCTGCTGAAAGAAAACTTTTAAAATTATTCAAATGTACATCATAGTAAAATACTTTTTTAGCAAAATAAAATGAGCTTTTGTTGTTTTTTTATTTATAACTAGGGTAAACAAAAAAACTCAAATGAGAAATTGAAGTGTACAGGATATCTTTTTGAGTGTGGAGAGGATACACACACATCAGGATATACAAGAATGGGCATGGAGCAAGGCTAGGGAAAATAAAATGATAAAAAGGTATTTTATAGTAGTATTTAACTATTTCCTCACAGTTTTGCATTTGTTCTGTTATTAAAGAGGACTTAGGTGTTAAGGTCTGACTTCTTCTCATTTGCATGAATATGATGTTTGCTCAAACCAAAAGTCTAAAATGTATAGATCTAGACTGTCTTTGCATTGTAGTATATGTGCAAACTAAAGATGTGAACATTACTTTTCATTGATAAACATTTCTTTAAGAGAGACCAGACAATTTTGAAAAATAGATTTTAGGAAAGAATAGGTGCTGTAGTTTTACAAAATTCAAATGCATCTTCTTCAGATTGGATTCTCCTCTTAAGAAGTTCAGCAACAGGGTGTATTTATTACTTTAAGTTGAGTTTCTTTAACCTCATTATCACAGGTGTTAAACAAAAGGTCAGTGCACACAATTGTAGTGTAACAAAAAAAAGGGAAGGCAATAGCACCCCCTTCATTCCAAAGTGCAATGGTGCCATTTTTAAATATGGTATGGCTCTGTCATGTAGTCTTCACTGGTCCTCTTCTGTTTGCTGCAAAACAGGCTTCTGTCAAAACAGCCGCCCTAACCCCTAAAACCCTCAATCACTATACTGTATAAAACGGGGGCTATTTAGTGAATTTTACAGTGAAATCAATTAACTGACCATTCGGACTGATGATCACTTTTTTTCCTCCCTCTTGGTGACGTAACTCCGCCTCACCGCATGGTGCCCGCGCCATTTTTGTTATCTGTCGATATTGTCGGGTAACAACAGTCGTAGGCAACAGCGGGAAATCCCATTATGCTTTGCTAGGAGTGCGCTCCGGAATATTTCTGCTCGTCTCGTGACCATGTATGATCACTACTTTTCAAGGTGCATTTTGGAAAATATTAAGTCCACTAATTTCAATCCACTAGATCAGGGGTAACCAATTAAAAATCAGTGGGCTCCGAATAAAGAAAATCAACAACCAGTAAAGGTACAGAGATATTTTATATTCTTTATATAATCTGTTACTTGTTTAAACAGAATTTAACACTGAAATAAAATGATTTTTTTTATGCATCCATGTTATACATTTACTAAAAAAGAAAAAAAATTCCATTTTAAAATCTAAAGTGTTTTTTGAAGTAGAGAATAACAATCTTTCAGTTTCAGTATGTAGACATTTTCCTGATTCACACATTTTATAAAACAGCAGTGGACTTTATGCTGCCCTGCAAGGTTTTAAATTTGGGTCTGATTGGGGACAAAGCCATTATAAAGCGCATATCAAGGTGCAAATTTTGAGCCTTGATCGATATGTATTTTTGATCATGTTCATGGTGGAGAATCCTGCTTCACAGCAGCAGGTTGAGCCAAACATCCTCTAAATGTGCAGGGTCATCTTTGAGCACCATTTCGCTTTTCTTTCACCAGTTTACCGCAGTTCTTCCACCAGTCCACACTTTCTTTTACTTTTTCTCATCGTCGTTACCCATCACCCGGCTTGCCACAGGTTTGCCTGTGTGTGTCTGCCTGTGTCTAAAAGTAGGTAGCGGCAACAGCCCTGACTGACACAGCTCACTCGCTTTACCGTACAAACAGGAGAAGCGGCGCAAGTGAAATTAGACATTGCCGTCGGACAACATGAGGTAATTTATAAATGTTTTAAATCAGGTTGGATCCGGATCCGCTAATCCGTGACCTCTGGACTAGATGTTCGAACTCATCTAAAATGGCAAAACCACTATATATTGCCCTATGTCCATATTTGGGTGGACATTCAGACACAGCCTAAGATTATATTTTTAAAATTAAAATGATACCACAGGGCCAATCATACTGCTGTGAAAGAAGTCAGTTTTATTGGCAAAAAGATCAGATTTTGGTCACATTTCCCTGCTGTGTTAACGTAGCCAAAATGCTTTTCTGTTTGACAGTGAACACTGAATAATGCTCTTTATTGAGATATAGAACAAACATTTCATCATCATTTCTCTTGTTGTTTTTTGGGATATCTCTACTAATCAAAACACAAACAATACTCCAAAAAATGAAAATAAAAAATACAATCGAATGGCGTCTGTCTGATTAAAAAAACAAAAGTTACAATAGATTAATGCTTTAATAATCTTCCTCATAAATTTGCGTTAATGTTAGACATGTCACCAAAATCTCATTTCTAACCTAAAGGAAAGGATTAAATCAATCTATCATTTCTTACCCTGTGTTTTAGCATTGAGCTCATTAAAGTCTGAGTTCATTTCCAGGTTCAAAAAGACATACATAACACCTAAAGTTAGGGTGTTTTTAAACTACAATTAGAGATCATCCAGACATCTGTCAATTTTTATTGTGAAGCAGTAAATGGTCAACAAAATGAAATGTCTTTAGAGCAAAGAGTCTTTGCACAGATGTATTTGGCATTACATCTGGTTAAAAGGTCATTACGTTTCATCAAAATAATAAAGAAAATACCACCATAGAATGTCAAGAGTATGCAGAATAAAAGTATTAATTTTATTAAAAAACATATAGTAGCCTATATAAATAATTGTTTTTATCAATTTTGACAGATCCAGAATAGATAAATATTTATTTCCGGTTACTTCAGACCTGCTAATGCTATTTCTAATGCTAATGCTAATCACGCCAGATCTAACAAGCCAAACCAACTTTGCTTGCATTAGATGAAAATGCCAAAGCAGTGGTAAGAGGGATTCGGACGGACGAAAGAGCTGAACAATAAAGCACACTTGCTATCCCCCGGCTCCCTTCTGTGTTGCTCTTCCCTGTTTTCTGTTGCACTGGTTACCAACGCAAACCCAGGGTGATGGTGTCACCAGACACGCAGTGGTGGCGGGTCAGATCAAGCATGTTTTTGGCAATGGGAAGGGAGCCAAATGCTGATTGTAATCTGGTTGGCCAGATTTTGTAAAACCAGTGTTTTAAAAACACGCGTTAACCCGCTAATTTCAGTTGGAAAGAGGCTTAATACAAGCACACAAAAGACCTTTCATTTAAAACATTCAGACACCAAATAAAATGTTCATATAAGAGCAGAGTAAAAGCAGGAAAACAGATGAGTTCTTTTCAGCGCCATCCAGTGTGTGTGTCTAGCAGCTGGACATGGGGTCTAATTGATACTGCTAAAATGCATCATATGTATGTAATCAGTCTCACAATTCAAACCAACCTACAGTTGCTGCTGGTAGAAAGTCTAGGTTTAGGGTATCTATGTTTAAATCACAAGTCACTTGGGAAAACAAAAGCCTCAGCAGCACACTCGGCATCATCTTCCTCATCTTCTTCTGGAATGTTCTCAGGTTCCCACGTGAAGACATCCATAGTATTTTCTGTAAATGAGCCTGATGTGCCTCCGATGATCTCCCACGGACACAATGCATCCCGCCGACCCAAAGCCAAGTTGTCTTTAGACTCATCTGTATGCCCTGTGGAAATATCTTCTGGAGCCTCTTCTGCGAGAGTCCTGGGATTGTATGAGTCATCAGGGTCACTGTTGGAAGAAAAAAACTTGTCTGCAACATTTGCCTCTGCATCTCCATCATCTCTCTGTTCTTTATCGTCAGACTGACAAACATCTTTATTGTTAGATTCATCCATATCCGATGGACATAGATCGCTCAGTGTGCCATCCTGCTCTTTTGGAAAATTTGGGTCTTCTGTTTCCCACGGACAAACATTTTCTCTAATGCTGTCTTGCTTTTTTACAACATTGGGTTCTGCATTCTCCCATGGACAAAAATTTTCTCTACTACTTTGTCTTTTTGTGACTTTAGTTTCTTCTGTCTCCCCTGGACCCACTTCCGGAACAGCATTGTCCTTTTTGAGACTTTTAGGATCTTCTGTCTCCCACGGACACACTTCTGCAACAGTATTGTCCTTTTTGACACTTCTGGGATTTTCTGTCTCCCATGGACAAACTTCTGCAACAGCATTGTCCTTTTTGACACTTTTGGGATCATCTGTCTCCCATGGACACACTTCTGGAACAACATTATCCTTTTTGAGACTTTTGGGATCTTCTGTTTCCCATGGACACACTTCTGGAACAACATTGTCCTTTTCAAGACTTTTAGGATCTTCTCTCTCCCATGGACACACTTCTGCAACAGCATTGTCCTTTTTGACACTTTTAGGATCTTCTGTCTCCCATGGACACACTTCTGGAACAACATTGTCCTTTTTGACACTTTTGGGATCTTCTGTCTCCCACGGACAAACTTCTGCAACAGCATTGTCCTTTTTCACACTTTTAGGATCTTCTGTCTCCCATGGACACACTTCCGGAACAACATTATCCTTTTTGAGACTTTTGGGAACTTCTGTGTCCCATGGACACACATCTGCCCTGCCACTGTTTTGCTTTGTTAAAACTCTTGCTGGGCTTTGCTGCCCCAGAGACAACGTTTTACAAATTTCCTTTTTTTCATAAGACTCAATCTCCCATGGACAAATGTTTCCTCTGCTGCTTTCAGCCCTCTCAGTTTTAATAGAACCAGTTTTTTCAGATGTATCTTGTTTGTCTTGATGTCCTGCTTCCCAGGGACAAACATTTGCATTCACTGTTACTTGTAATGCAGAGTCAGTGCTTATAGACGCTTTGCCCCCTCCTTTCAATGGGCAAACATCTACCTTGGGCTTAGATGGATCAGGGAAACTCCTTGGACAGATCTCTGTTGCTTTGAACAGTTGTACACATGGATTCAAGGTATTGGGGGCTGTGTTTTTTGTTTTGGTAACTTTTTTGACTTCTTTGGATGAACTGGGATAGATGGCAGATTTCATGCCTTCTTGATGAAAAGGTACCATCAATGTTCCTTTGATCCCTAAAGGATTTAGGTTTTGGTATACACTTTCATCCTTGTCTTGATCATCCCAAGGACAAACATTGGCAGGTTCACTGTCTTGTCTTATTGATATTTGGGGGGGCTCTACTGTCTCCCAGGGACAAACATCTACTTTCGAAGCTTGTGACTTAGGATCTTTGGATGTTGTAGATTGTGAAGTGACTGAAATATCCTGTGACTCCCAAGGGCATGTTTCAACCCTACTGCTCTTTGGTCCCCTCACATTCCCTTGGTCTTGTGACTCCCATGGACAGACGTTAGATAAATCTGACACCTGGGATTCTTGGGAACAGATGTTAGCTTTGATGCTCAGTTGCTCGTTTGGTCCTTCCCCCTGCTGTGCAGAACCAGCTCCATCCCAAGGACACACATCTGTGTTGGACACATTATAGGAGGTTCTGATTCTATTGCTACCTCTCCGACGAGTGGAAGGAGTTCTTGAGCTGCTAATAGTCTCCCGAGAACTTATGCTGCTACGTCTGCTGCTTTGCCGTGATAGAAACACGTGTTCGTGACTTCCCTCTCTCTGTGCATCATCAGCATCAGCATGAGAGTGGGCAGATTTAACAATCATGAACCTTCGTGGGCTTCTATCAGAGGAGTCCGCAGATGACAGTCTAACTGCGTTCTGCTTCACAAGGCAGGGCTTTCCATCAGTTGTTGACATACTAAATTTCTGCAGTGATTTCTTGTCCATGCTCGGACGTCTACTAGATGTTCCAGACACTGATGTTGTGGAGGTACTTTCCTGACTTCTTTGGGAATCTTCCCTGTTTAAATGTATATCCTTACTGACCTTGCTGCTATCAACAGATGACATAAGGGACTTCACAGAGAGCCACTTATTAGTGGTTGTGCGGAAGGAGAAGACCCGTTGATCCTTGGTCACCTTGGGTCTTGGTGTTCCTGGTACACTTGCAGACACGGTTACTGGGGTTTTAGAGGGCACACTGTCAGCCTGTGAGTCTTTCTCCACTGAAGGAGCCTTTTCAAAAGGCAATGAATGGTCCCAGGGACAAACAAGTGCTTGTGGGGAAGGTAGCTCCTTTTCTTCGCTATCCTTTGAGCTTGCATATGTAACATGCTTTTTGTTCTTCTCCCCTGATTGTTCCGGCTCCACCTCCCAAGGACAGACCTCAGCCTTGTCAAAGGATTCTGACTGGAGGGCACTTCGGGTCTGATCACCAATGGAAAGGCTCTGCTTTGACTGCGTTCCACTTCCACCAGATATCTTCGGTATGTTTTCTATAGAATGGGTGGTAGAGGAACTAAGGCTCCAAGACTTATGAAGCCTTGTGTGATCAGGATGCAAGAGATTGGTATCAATTGTTAAATTCTGAGCACTGGCTGACTTACAAACCCCAGGAGGAATGTCCAAAGAGTCTGTCTCAGATCGCTGGGAGGATCTCTTTACAGAATTGGGTCTTAAAGTAGACTCACGGAAAGAGGAGACTCTCTCCCTCACATAATGATGTTCATTTGGGGACTTGCATATGAATGAGGAATGGGATTTTATAGAACTTCTGTAACTGATACTTATAGTATCTGGTGCTAATCTTAAGGAATCAGAGTGGCTTGCACGTCTAATATGGAAGGACCCATCTCTCTCTTCACGGCTGCACTGCCGACTTACTGTTTCTGGGAACTCTGTGATGCGTTTCATTAATGATCTTCCCAGTGCACATCGAGAACTGCGCTTCTTTGATAGATGGGGGTTATTTGCCGTCATCTTCTTCACTTTGTGGACCTCTAACTGTGCATATAACTTCTTAAGCTCATCCTGATTCATATGAAGATGCCAGGAAATTGATATTGGAATTGAAGAGACAGAGAAGAAACAGAATAAAAGAAACAAGTCAGAAGAGATTCTAAATTACATTTGTTTGTCAAAAGAAAGAATAAAATATTAATAAAGTTTTGCATTACCACTTTCTGTTGTATGTCGAACAGTACAAATAAAACCAGAGATTAATGTGTAATGTATAAAAATATGCATGAACCTTTTTTCATGTTGGACATAAAACCAGACTAAAGTTTGCACACAAAGGTGGGCCTAGACAAGATGTGATCCCACACACTCGTGGGTTAAAGTCATGCACACTGACCAGTCAGCCAAAGGAATATTCCCATGGCCAAGCAATCCGTTAGTTGGACCCATAGTGACAGGACCACACTGTCACACATATATTTTCAATATTTAGTAGCTTTAAACTTTATGACTTAACTACAAAATTTTGGGTGTCTTTCTACAAAGTGCTTACCATTGTTTTGGGTGGGTTGTAATGTCAGTTTACATGACACCATTTGTTCACCAACTTTAAAACTTATGCCTGATGTCTCAACATTTTCACATAAGCATTTCCTAAAAAAAAAAAAGGTGGCTCTCTCTTTTCACGGATGGAAGTTCCCTGTTTAAAATGGATAAATTAAAAATAAACTCAAGGTCTTGTTCGCGAATGAAGGAAGAATGAGGTGCAGCTCAACAAACCGATCATTGCTGCTGACATAGTAATGTTTACTGTGGGGCGACTTTTGGTGAAAAGAGAGATTAACTGGTTGGTTTAGGTTCCTACCCTTACCATGGGTCATAAAATCTGGTTCATTATTGAAAAATCAAGATCCCACATATTAGCGGGTAGAATGAGCTCCCTCCTCTCCTTCTAGGCTTGCTTATGCTTGATGTATCTATGCTCTGTGTGGAAATTAGACACGCAGAAACTTTCCAACACAGCGTCTGCAGCATATTGACTGATTGACATTATTGATCTCACAGTGGAGAAATGTAGTTGATATATGTAATATCGTACTGTAATAACATACTGTAATGTAACATTGTATCCCTTGCAGATTTCCACGTTGTATTCAATATTCTGGTAGACTCTGGAGGGCAGTAAAGGGGACCACTGGTGAAGATTCTCAGTCATCTAGGTCATAGCCAATTCAGAAAAGTTAAAAAACAATCCACTGGACTAGGGCTGCAACTAACGATTATTTTTTCGATGAATCGGACCAAAAATATTTTTTATATTAACCTCTTTATTCCATAATAAACATTTTAGACAGAACAAACAAGCACACAAGTACAGGTTGCTCATTAACTGTACTGGTGCAATATAAAAAATAAATGTTTGTGTTAAAACTACGCAAACTTACATGAGAAATGTAGCTGTACATCCACAAAATATAGGCTACTTTGTTTCATAAAGCGCAAAAAAGAATTTTTTGTTTTTAAAAGCCTCTATGGGGTTCAAACAATAGGCCCCCCCATTTCAACAAATGAGGTTATTTTAGACTAGAAGAGTTCTGCCTTTTAAGACAGGAAAGTATAGCAGTTAAAGTTGCTACTTGAGAAAATACTGAACCATAGAGATAAAAATAGCCCTGTGATTCAAATTATAAATTGTATTTGGAATAAAAATGAGAGAACTAGGGGTGCTAAAAAACACATCCTCCAAAGACAGATATTTACATGGAAATGTGGAATATGATTAATTGACATATTACTGATCTTGCTGGATTTTATTCTGCTTTACTTCCATAAATTGCAGGATCTTCTTTTCTTTATCTTTGCCAGAAGATTTAAACTTTAAAAGCCTTGCCCTCATAATTTGCAAGTTAATTTATTTATAAAGAAAATATAAACGCTGCTTAAGCTAATTCAAATGAAATTAAAAGTAAAATAAGTAGCCAACCTTATCACTGTCTGTAACCTACTAACACGGTAAGGAAAGCATCAGATGAGCTACCTGAGAATCTAACGTTACGTTTCCCCTCTTTAAAACCAAACAAACATGGTCACTCATCCTGCTGATCAGCTCTCTTCACTGCCATCGAAGGCTCCAACGTGTTTTCTTTTCAGGTGCTGCATCATAACAGTGGTGCTTCCGTGCCATGTTAATTTGTTTTTACAATAGTTGCATGTTACGACTTTTTTCGCTTTACAAAGCGCAGGCTATTTTAATTATTGTGATCAATTTGCGGCGTCAATCCCGGCGCATGCGCGCTTCATTTGCAATCTGGACGCTGAGGGTAAACATCCTGCGGCTCTGACTGCAGCGCTGAGAGGGACTCCTGCGGGAGCGCCGCGGGAGAACAGGGTTGGGATGGGGGAGGCGCCCCACGGCAATGACGACGGCGGCGGATGACGCATTAATCGCGCGACACAACTAATCGATGATTAAATTCGTTGCCAACGCTTTTAAAAGTCGATTTTTATCGATTTTATCGATTCGTTGTTGCAGCCCTACACTGGACGTTTCGCTTCTTATTCAGGAGGCTTTTTAATTCAAAATGTCAGTGTTAGCGTTGAGTTTGAGACTTTATAGAGTGGACCAAAAGGAAAGCCTTGTTCTGGCTTAGAAAACGTGCAAATTGAACCGGATGAATGGGTCTGCCCATTAGGAAAGGGCAGTCGATGGGTTCTTATTTAGCCTGCAATGTAGTAGACAGTGAGCAAGCTTACCACACCATACTGCATGCAGAAGTGGAAAGGTTTTTTTCCACCATTTCCAATGCCTCTTTGTGTCACCCAGAAGAGACAGTCATTTCTTTGCAAGAGTTGCTTATAATCTGTTTCTGAATGAATGTCATATTTTTGGACCATATCTTAACATCAACAGATGTTTATAGTTTCTAGCCAACATTGACCTTTCCATGTATTTACACACTTAGGCCAGGGAGGGGCATAGATGCTCCAATAATGTAATTAGGGTGGGCAGCACCAAGCATAAACCAATCTCAGAAGATGGGGTAAGCAGCTCAGCTATCTGAGGGGCTTGGATTAGAGCTGCTGCTTCTCCACATAGAGAGGAGTCAGCTGAGGTGGCACTTTGTCTCAGGCATGCAACATCTAAGTGAAGACACATGGCAGGACATATCTGAAGGACTGAATGTATATCTTGAGGGAAGATGACACTTTACCTGAAAATCATCTGGATCCATGCTGCGCTCACTTAAAGCAGAACAAAAGCTGTTGTTGAGGAATGAGGCAGAACGACGAAGATCCAGTTCATCTTCATACACTTCTGCTGCTATTTCCTCTTTTCTAGCTTTAGCCTTGTAGAAAAACTAGGGGAGAAACACAAGTATGTGGAAGTGTATGAGATCAGCTCATTCTGAATATAGCAGAACAGTGTTTCAAAACTTTGTTAAACTAGTTAAATATGTACAAATGAAGATTGGTGATCTAAGAGCTAATTATTGAAGGAAAAGGTTACCACTAGAATAGTGACTTTGAAAGTTTACTTTCTGTTAATGTAGGCAGCAATCTGTTGCTTTCCTATTGGTTTAGGGACATCTAAATACCTTTGGAACAAGGAGCAGCATGAGTGTGACTGTGATGGTGACGTGGGTGTGGATGAAGGACAGCAGTAACATCCAGTCTGGATGGAGAGACTGAAAGGTGAACCTAATGAAAGATCCAAACACATAGTCATTCCCTGTCCAGCAGAATTTGTATTTCTTTGAACATATGAAATAATGGTTGTGCCATGGTTACCGAAACAGGTGGAACATGGAGGACAGCAAAAGCTCGTTGTGGATGGCGATGCCCATATAGCGAGGTTCATGAAAGGCTGAGGGGACGGGACGGACGGCTGTCCACAAGGAGCTGCCCCAGCACAGGAACAGAAGCTCAGCTGAAAAAAACAGGAAAACAGGCAGAATGTTGATTAGAAACCAACCTAAATGAGTCTGCTTTCATGTAACACGGCCTGATTCACAGCTTCTCTGCAAGAGCAAAGCCTTTTCTGTCAGTGGAACATCCAGAACCAAAGAACATCTTGCAATAAAAGATCTGAAAAAGCCTAAATGAGCTTAAAATCTCTTGGGTCACCTAAAGAGAGCTCTGAACATGAGATGTCTTCATGTCTGACACATTTGAGGAACTTCTTCAAGACAGTCGAATAAACATATGCATAGATGTCAGCAAAAGAGAGAACTTCTGAAATTAAAAGTTCCTCAGATAAGTATTAGTGCAGGAATTTCATGTGCTATCTAACAGGGTCATCACACCTTTTTATCTGTATTTCTTTTTCTAACAGATATTTTCATTAGAATTGTATTATAAAATTCACATCACGATTAGAAACATTTTATTAACCATAATGTGATATTTTATGTCACAAAAATATATGTTATTAAGTGGATTTAAGGATGTTCAAGAACACAATAATCTCAGATCACTTTTAGGCACATTAATCACCTTTAGATCAGTTAAACCTACATTAGTAGAACTTTACTACGAGTGGGGAGGTAAATATAAAAGTGCCAGTAGTCTGAATACTCGATTTCTGCAGTTTGTCTCATCATAGAAAGAAATAATGAAATGTGTGTATTTAACATGTAAATCATCTTTTAGGTCCTTTTTAATATTTTTGAATAGTTATTTACATTAAAGATTTGTATAGGTTGGCAGTCTTTAACAGTCATATTACAAGGTGAAACATTTACTGCAAAACAGAGCTTTTCTGTGATTTCAGGCTACAATAGTTGTAGTTTTATCCACTTTAATATGTAGTGTTTATATGTTACAAGGAAGGTCATTCTTATAGATTAACACAGGTATATGTTTTGTTTATAACTACCTAATGTAAATGCGGCAATGATTTAAAGGTCTATAAAATAGTTGGTCATTCTTTTAAAAGCGACGATTTGAGAGGCTCAGATAATCAAAGCAAAGATAGTAGGGATGGTATTTACTGCAGGCAACAGAGTGAACAACCTTTAACAGAACCATGTGCTGAAATAATTAAAGCTAACCTTGAAAAAAAAACAACAACAACTGGTTGAAATGTTGGAGCTGTAACCAGTAAGCTTGAAATAAGGAGAATGTTACCGTTATTTATCCTTGTGGTTTGGTCTGGAACAAGGAAATGTCATACTTCTCAAAAAATTGATTTTGCAACGTTTACCTAAGTTTTAAACTGTTCATTTTAAAGTTAATAAGTTAATTCCAAGGAAAAAAAAGAACAACAAAAATTTTTACAATACACTGACATGCATGTTTAATAAAGCTCCGTAACACATTAAATCACATTCTTCACTGCGTTACGCATTCAGCCAATCCAGGTCGGGAGGAGATGACTTGCTGAAGTTTGAGGAAAACATCTGAGCATGCCAGCTGTGGGAACAGATCACCTCTCTGATATTAGAGGAAGGTCACTAGAGAAATGTGAGACTGCTGCAGCACTGCAGAATGATAACAGCAGCTTAAATAACCACCCAATACAACCACAGTATGCAGGATGGCATCTCTGAGTTAAACAAAGCGTCAAACCTTGAGTCAGATGAGCTATAGCAGCAGAAAACCACACTGAGAGTCACTCCTGTCAGCTAAGAACAGGGAACTGAGACAAATCATACGGTCTCACCAAAATATGACATCAACACAGAGGTGTCAAAAGTATAAATGTTTATTACTGAAGTAGAAATCATGATGTTTTAAAACACCTTAATAGAAATTAGAGGATCAACTTAAGCTTTTTACTCCTGTAAAAGTGTGAAAGTACCATTTTTAAAACTACTTAAAGTATAAAACTAAAAGTAAATGAAAAGAAATATTAAGGACAAAAGCTTTTCTGCACTACCCCATCAATGGGACATTTTTCTAAACTTCTGGATGATAACATCCTTATAATTAATTTTCTTAGTTTTATAACTAATGGTAACATTGTCAAATTTAACTTTGCATCTGAAAAACAAATCATTATCTTGAAAAACAATTTATTTTGGTATGTGGTGAACAACAAGTTGGGGCAACACTGAGTCCATCCACAAAGAAATACATTTTCTGGATGAGAATAATTATTTTGATTTTATTTTTTAAATACCAACAGGACATAATGAAAATGAGCCTAAATGAAACAAAACTAACAGACCCATTAGTTTTGTGTCATTTAAGCCCATTTTCAAATGGAGTAGAAAGAAGAGATAATTGCAAAAAAAAAGTAAGTTTTCTAAAAAAGAATTACTCCAATAAAGTGTAGATAGCTGAAATTTCTACCTAAGTAAAGTAACTAAGTATTTGGACTTTGTTACTTGACACCTCTGCATCAACATCATAACATAACATGAGCTGCAAAATTCAGATGATGGAGTCAGAATTTGGTGCCACTAATGATCCATCCTGCTGGTATCTAGGTGGGGGCGGGGGGGACCTTTGGTTTATGATAGAGCTAAAGATTAACTTCAGAAGTACAGCTGAGTGTGATGCATGTATCAGTCTGAACCAAAGTGTCAGAGGAGGAGCTGAGGGTCAGAGAGCTGCACCATCCAATACTTGGTAGGTTGTTTGTTTCATACGCTCTCCAGATGGAATAGATCACAGTCTGTTAGCACTGAGGAGAATAACACACTCACCCACAGCCATCATGTAGTCCCAGCGGTCCAGGTAACACAGGCTGAAGCCCTGACCGTCTGCCGTGGTGGCTGTAAGAAAAACCGGAATGCTCCGATCTCGGTTCTGGAGAACACCCACGGTCCACGCACACAGGAACCAGCTGACCGTCATCAGCATGACTCCCAGAATCCTCAGCAGGTGGAGGCTGGAAATGTAGGGCATTCTCTGGGCTGTACGTGAGAGGAACACTTTCAGCACCCTGGACAGAGAGAGAGGGAGTCAGGGCGTCATTAATGCAAAACACTTTGTTATTTACAAGAGGATAAAAACATGTTATTTCATGTGGCAGAAAAAGCCAGTTTGGGTCAATGTTTATGATTAAACAGGACTAAAGATTTAAGAATTTCATAAATAAAGTAGAGGCAGAGGAGAAAGTGTTTGTAAAAAGAGATTTTTTATTTTTCCTAGGGTAGATACAGTCCCATCAATTGAATTTTCTTATTTTGAAAGGGGAGCATAAAGTTTCTCTAACAGGCCAATCTCTGTTACTGATTTTTATTTTCTTAATTCCCTCTGCATGATATTACATTTTCTCCTTTAGTTTAATAACTGCAGGCTGTTATTGCAGGAGGAGGGTCGCTCCTACGTTCACCCCCGGCCAGAAGGTATGGCTTTCCACTAGGGACATTCACCTTGTTCAAAAAACTCTCCCCCCAGTTTATCAGTCCATATGAGATGGAGAGGATCATCACTCCTTCTGCTGTCCGTCTCTGCTGTTGTGTTTTTTAAGTTATTTGAATTCTTTACCTGTACATTTTCAGTGTAATTGTGCCATAGACAATGGAGAAGCCAAGCATTCGGACCCAGCGCAGCAGAATACATCTGAAGGTACTCGGCTTGAAGTACAGAATGAAGACCTGCAGAGGGAAACACACTGGAAGTAAAACTGCAGTAAAGGTTTTATTGTAGCTGGACTTTTCCTTCTCTGCAGATTCTGTTTTAACATTTAAACTGTTAGTCTAATATAAGAACAAAGATTACAGTTTGAAACTGCTGGTCAGAGGTTAGCAAACAAAGGAAGGCTGTGGAGGACTTGATCTGCAGGAGCAAACATGTTTATCTGCCACGTTATGTTTTCCTGTTTAAAGTAAAAGTCCGCTCATATTCAGAATTCAAACTTCTGAAAGTACTTTAAATATGAAATTATTCCATCCTGTTCAATAAATGATCAGTGTTTTTAATTAAGAGTAATTCTCATTTGATTGTCCTTTACTGGAGGCATCCATGTCCTACTGGTTTGTGACGTCATGGTGCGTTTTCGGCTGTTGATCAAGTCCCAGTGCTGTATCTGGTGTTTGTCACAACGCGCTATTATCCAAGTCATCTTGAAAACATTCTTCTTCCAAATGTTGGCTACATATTATGGGTTTTTTCTCTGGCCAGAAGTTCGATGGCAAATCCTCCCTCTTCAAGTTGGCAATCCAACGACCAACCCGTCTATGTATTCCAACATCCAGCTGCCATGCCGTGGGCATTGTCAGTTTCACTATAGCTCTGGTGAATTTCAATGGTGAAGTCCTCTGGAAATCTTCAATAATTGTTGTTGATTGCAGATGTGTCTAGTAGTTCCCATTGATTTAGCTTGTAAAGCGGGGAGAATGGCGCTAGGCTTACCGCACCGTGACGTCACTGCAGGAAGATGGCAGGAGGGACGGGTTACTATATATGTGAAAAAATGGCCGTTCCCAGACTCAGTGATCACAACGAAAATTATGATTTTCATTTTTTTATTGATTATTGCTTAATTCATTAAATCACCGCAAACATTAGTTCTAGGTATAAATAATGATTCATTGGTTATTCCTTGCTGACCGGACTTTTCCTTTAAGTTTAAAAACGTCAAAGAACTTAATAGATTAAGTGCACGTTTTGCAGCACGTCATGTCGGCACAAGAATTAACTTGCTTAAGGATGCCAAAATAATAGAAAAACAAGTTGATAAACGTTTTCAACAATGTAAAATACTTTTTTCCTCATTCCACCTTTTATGTTATTAGATTGTGCTATGTCTGGAGTTGACAAAGCAAACCCAAATAAGAGATTTCCTTATAGAACATCTAAAAATTATCAAGCTAGACTGTTAAAATGCTTCCCTAATGCCAAAAAACAAGCTCAGCATCCAAAAAACATACCCCACTCGTCACACACACATTTTACACCATCCTTGTGGGGACTTTCCATTGACTTCCATTCATTTCTATAGGCTAAACCTTAGCCATTACCAATACATGCCAAACCCTAAACCTAACCTAAACTCTTTTCATACCTTAGTTCTAAGCCTAACCCCCGCCGCATGGGTATGGGTCCCCACAAGTACCTATAAGCACCGAAAATGTTGCATATTCCTATGAAATGTAACCGACTAGGTAACAAAAGCACGGCCACAGACAGCTGATCCAAGCAACCCCGACATAGTCCACTCATTCCTTTACTCCAAGGGAGTAAAGTTTACATTTTTGAATATGACAACACATATGAAGAGTAAACATGATAAATGGCATGTTCTCCTATAATTTTCATGTAAACGTAATCTTGACATTACATTTACAATTAGATTTTTTCTATTAAAATTATTTATTATTGTGGTAACTTATAGGTACTTGTGGTTCACCCAACTGGCCCCCATTAGGGAAAGTTCTCTTCTTGGGTGTGAGGTTAGATCTAAGGTGTGAACTAAGTTCAGGTTAGGGTTAGGTATGTTTTAGTAATGGTAAGGGTCTGAGTTAGGCCATACAACTGTGAAAAATAAAATATTGCCAAAGCTTGGCTTGTGTGTTCAGTAATTATGGTACTTCTCTAATCTAAAGCCAAATGCACTAATGGAAAATGGGGAGATACCAAATACTAGGACTGCAGACATGCAGGACTGGTTGATGGAAACACCATAGAGTCTCTGGATGCAGGCAAAGGATCACAGCGATGTGACGGATGCTCCTCTCTTCCCAGGTGGTATTTCTTTGTCATGTACCTTCTTCCTGACATGATAGAGGTTTTTGACTCTCTGGAACATTAGGGACTAAAACATTTCTCTCATTCTCCACAGAGAACAATAATATCTATTGAGTGGTGATTGTGGGGGTTTATTCCACCTCTTTAGGTTAATGACTCTTCTTAGGCTCAATGGGAATGTTTTACTCCAGGTATTAGAGCTGTAGCTTTCACTTCCACATCTGTCTGCTGTTGGTGTGCAGTCCGCATGTGTGAAATCTATCTGGAGAAGATGTAGGGCTGCGTCCCTAAAGCAATGTTGTGAAGGGTGCAACTAGACTAAGAGTCACTGTATCACAAAGCCAGTAAGTCAAATGTTCCTCCAGTATGAGTTAAAAAGAACAAAGTATTCAATTAAAAAGAGGCATGAGGCAACCAGGATGAGTGTCGGCTGCTCTCAATCTGAAGCCGCAGTTCACCGCTGGAAAACAGGGATTATCTCGTCCAAGGTTTAGCCATGAGTCTCTGTCTCAAGAGACTTGCTCTCTGAGTGACTGATGGGTGGGATTATATATTAATCCCTCAAAATAAGATGGTATAATGGTAGTGGTAGAAAATATATACACGTTTCCCTTCTAAACTGATCACTACATTGAATAACCAATAGAACATGTAGAGAGGCGGACGTTACAGTAAGGTATGGTTAGATCAGTAACACCGGATGCTAAATTTAGGCAAAATCCCTTAAAAGCAACTCTGTACAATAATCACCAAACAAAAATATGTTCCCTGTATCACTCAAGTATCATTCTCTTTGTCCCGGCCAAACCCCAGACTTGTCTGACAGTTTTGAACTCCAGAGAAAATGTCTCCATCACTTTTCTAGAGTCTAGAACAGTGTTTCTCAATTCCAGCCCTGGAGGTCTGATTTCCTGCTCTAACCCTAACCCTTTCTGCTTCCACACCTGAATACAAGAGCTAATTTACCTCCATGTCATACAGTCAGGTTCTCCAGAGTTCTGATAATAAACAGATTATTTGAAGCAAAGACAGTCTAAAAGGTGAGGAAGCCTGGTCTACAGCTTCATCTCATTGCCTCCATCATTTCTTTGTTGATATTCTGAGATTACATGGAGGTATCCATAGAAACTTATGCTATTAAGTTCACCATAGATTATTCTTTAGATAATCTGAAGATCAAATGACTGACCCTGCTGACCTCATGGGTCGTCTACGCACCATGAACCTTAAACAGCTCTTTTATGTTGCACAGATTCCCACTTAATTTGCTCTTTGTCACGATATCACAGACAGTTAACCTCTGAGTCACTAGCTGTCTCATTCCATAAATAGACTTGGTGCACAGACTGCATCCTGTCACTGGACCATAGTAGAAATCCCTGAGCTTTTGAGGGCCATCCATTCTTTCACGCTCTGCTTTTCTACTTGGTATTATGGCTTTATACACCTGTGGTCATGGAGGAGATTGAGCATCAGAGTTTCATAATTTGAAATGGTGACCCAATATGTTTGGCACAAATTACTGAAATGATTCAGAACACAATTCAAAGTAAAAACAATATAATTTCACCTCATTCAGACATGTTTACCGTAGTCAGCTTAACAATTTATGTTTATCTCATCAAAACTACACCACTGCAATCCAGTAGCTTTTCTGTTCGCACCTCCCCTGCAGCCTAACCATTAAGTGCTGATCACTTGTTATTTTTAGAAAGAGGTGCAGAGGGGACAACCCATTAACATGTTGACACATTAAATCACTTCCTGCACACACTGTCACAGTCTGCAGGGACAATCCCCCATCAGCCCATGCAGAGAAACAAAGAGCATGGGAGATATTACCAAATGGATCTTAACTCTGATAAATGATCCATGACTAAAGCTGAAAAATAGATAAAGAAATAATCAGTTTCTGCTCCATGGAGACTCACAGGGAAGTAGAGGAGCAGAGAGCCGAACAGAATGGTTTCCAGCAGCAGGAGACTTGAGGCCCGGATCCTCTGACGGTACAGAGGCAGAGGAAGAAACCCAAGAAGAAGAAGAAAAAACAAGGATGAGGAATAACAAACTTGCAATACTTTTTTAGAAGTTTCATTGTAATATAATTAACTAATCTAATCTGTCTAATTTAAGGTCACATTTTGTGTTTTGTCAATGAATGCTCTGAGCCACCGATTCCCAAAGTTGGGGTCGTGACCCCACTTGGGTCTTGATATTTGCTATAGAAATTTAAACTAAACAATAAACATTTATGATGTATATTCTTAAAGATATAAAAAACATCACAAAAACAACTATTGTTATTGAAGCTGTAATTTATCACATGGATAGTTTATTTTGAGGAAACGTTTGAATGCTTATACCACTGATGCTGGATCCATTTTTAGGGCCAGAGGCTGAAAAGTTTTGGAACCCCTGTTCTGAGCAATGGTCTAGTAACCACACAGTTACTGCATAAGCATCCCATCATTTTTATTTTAAAGTTATAGTACTTAAAAAAAGCTTATAAAATCAGCACATAAAAGTCTGTTGCTTTTACATAGTTTTTTTTAGTTTGGATGAAATTCTTGGGAACTTAGTGGTGGAAAAGGTCAGCACTCTCACTCATCCTGAATCATCTAACTCACCCGGTTTTGACGATGCTGATAGGACACCAGCATGCTGACAAAGACGAGGAACATGAAGACCCCCTGGAGGGCCAGCACTGCGGCCCTGAGGAGCTTGTCCTCTTGCACCCAGCAGGGGGTGCTGTCCTGGCAGCGCTTACAGCCTGGCCAGCATGGGAGACAGATGGGCATGTTCGGGTAACATGTAGCGCTGCTTTCGCTGCCATTCTTAGGTCCTCCATCTGTAAAACACAGATACATGAATGTACACCACCTACTGAGCCATGTGACAGCCTCAGACTGCAGTGGCATCTGCAAACCTCAGAGTGAAAGAAATCACATGTCTGCTTCATGTCCCTTACATGATCAGAAATCAGTCATAGGGTGCCATACAGACACATTCTTTCCATCATGTTGCTCAAAGCCTTATATAAGCATATTTAGGGCTTTCAGTTTATTAAAACAATAATCAGCCTTTGCTTTGGATCATCTTTAACCACAGATATCTGAAATCCATCTACTCTTTAATAAACTGTTATTGCTTACAAAAAAACCCCAACTAAAGTGATGTAAAATGGAGGTAATTCTTCCCAAGGTAAAGCTGAAGCTCACACAGTGAAGGGAACATTCACTAGAAGCCTTAGTAACATTATGAATGAAAAGCCTTGAAATAAATAACCTTTTATTGACAATGAGTTTGTCCAGAGGGCAAATAAAATTACATTTAATCAGTTTGTGCCAAGGTTAAGGCTTTATTTTAAAATGGAATGAAATAACAGCAATAAATGAGAGTATACATGAACAAAATTTCTGGAACCCCTTTTAATGAAAAACTAAAACAAATGCCAATATTCTGCCCTTTCTGGACTTTTTGGTTCTGTTTAAGTTTTGTGTTTGGTTTATGTCATTCTATGTTTTCTTGGTCGTTGGTTTCATTTCCATTTTGTTTTATTCTAGTTTTTTCTGGTTGTATTTGAGTTCTTATGTATTTCTTGTTTACTCTCTGCTGCCCCCTTGTGCCAGTCTTCTTTCCCCTAGCTCCCTTCTAGTTCCTTCTTTCCACACCTGCTCCAAGTCATTTGATTACTCTATTCTTTGTTCTGTTTAGCATATGTCCTCCTCCTCTGCAGCTACTGCTTGCTGGATTCTCTTCATTACTTAATTTCTTAATTCCGTGGGTATATTCCCTGCGTCTCCTAGTTTTGGTTCCTGAGTTTCTTGTCGATTAGTTCAGGATTATGGCTTCTGTATTTTTACTTCATTAAATTTAGCAAAAAATCATCTCTGTCTCTTCATCTCTGCATCTATATCCTCAAAAAGTACCCACCAATCCTGACAGCAACAAAAAAATGGTCACAGGAATCACTCGAATCTGACAAAAGTAATAATAAATACAATTCTTGGTAAATGAAAAAATGGCATTAGAAAGATAATAATAGACAAGCATGTTAAAGTTAAAGGTTTTAAAACATCTCTTGGTGTTGGTGTGACTACAGCTTCACATTTTCAGAAATTAAAATCACTAGGACTGTAGCCAGCTTCCCTGGACGTGACCACAGGATAAAATTTGATGACAAATGAAAGAGACTAAGATACCAATGGTAAAAAAAGTGCCTGAAAAACTTCTAAAGACATCAAAGATGAACTTTAAGCTCAAGGACCGTCAGATAAAGATCCCACCATTATTATTATCATTATTTGAGCCAAAGTGGACTTCATGGGAGACACAAAGCTTTAATTTTTGTCTCCTAAAAACAAAGAAGGCATAAATTTAACTTTTTGCAAAGACACATCCGCTCTACATTCAGAGATGGAAAAACTAAACATATCTAGAAAATACCACTGTCCCTATGATGAGACATGGAGGAGGCTCTGTGATGCTCTGGGGCTGCTTTGCTTCATCTGGTATAGGGTGTCTGAATCTCTGCAGAGTACAGTGAGGATCTTTGGAAGGAGCTGAAACCCGCTGTCATGAAAAGGTCCCCCTCAGACCTGAGACAACTGCAGCTGTTATCCGTTATTACTTTGGTCAGATTCTGGTTATTTCTGTGACCACTGAAGGGTTTTTCCCTTCATTAAATAAGCGGTACCAACAATTTTCTCTATGTGTGTATCTTTTCAGATTTAAAAACAAAATAATTATTTTAGCCTAACTTGCTTTGAATAATCATTCATCTGTGATTGCCTATGGTTACGACAAAGAGAAATGCAACAATCATCCCTGGATCAATTAACAGGAAATTGTTTTAGCAAGAACAGAACTTCAAAATAACTTTTGGTGACATTAAAGAAGGATTCTGGATGTTTTGATTTCCAGAAAGAGACTACTTAGGCTCCTTTAAGGTATGTGCTGCAGAAAGGTGTAGCTACCAGTGCAGAGCGTCCTCAACAATGGCAGCTGGCGAGTGTAAGAACAACTGCTACACAGATAAAACATGATAAAAAAATGACAACAAAGAGGGGAGCTTGAAGGAAGTAATAATATGGACGCAGATACAGGAATCCTAATTCTAAATCCTTGGGATGCCTGCAGCCATGAAAGTTGTTTTCTGCTTAAGGTTCTGTATACAGATGCTAGAAATTTAGGTTAGGAGGGAACCTGCCTGCAAGTCAACACGTAAAATTACATAACCTGTGCTGGAGAATCTCTGAGGATTTTAATTAACAGATTAAAAGATCACAGTTTCTGTCAAAATGATAATTCAATCTGAGTTTGTTAGTTTCACTCTTTTTGTGAAATTAAGTAGTGAAAAAAATAGTATCAGATTTCGTCATTTAATGATCAATACAATAAAATTGTGGCCAAAAAAGAAACATTTCTGAATTCCTCATCCAACCATCCATCCATCTTCTATGACTTGTCCATCAGGGTCGCTGAATGGAGTTGGTACCAATCCCATACAGGCTATGGGGGAACAGTACAGTCTGGTCTAATGGCAGGGAAACTCAAAGACAAATCACCACGCCATCAAATTCTCCTCTATAGTGAGGAGCATGTGTTGACTGCCATTTTTTAAAGTCATTTTTTTAACCCTTTCTATGCATTAACCCTGGCAACAGCCCTAAACTAAACAGTTACCAGTGCAAACCTCAGCCTAAGACAAAACTAAACCCAATTTAAACCTTAGTTCTAAACCAAAATAACTTGTGAGGACTGGCAAAAGTGTCCCCACTTTCTAAACGTGTCCTCATTCCAAAGGTGGAAAATCAAACTGATTCTAACACCTAGAGGAAATTTAAAGACATCAATAAACCTAGCAGTCATGTTTTCTAGACTAATGTAGGAAACCAGAGTACCCAGAGAGAAACCCAGCATGCACAGGGAATTAATATTAGTCATTCAAACAAAAAAGAACAAAAGAAGAAGAAAAAAAAAAATAACCCGGGGGCATCATTGCTATTACTGGCATTGCCTGTCAGTTTGCTGCTTCACCTACCAGGATTCTCAGGTGGGATTTCTGGGTTGTAGTATCCCTCCTTACAGCGGCAGCAGTACTGACCCAGTCGAAAGCCTCGGCCTGGAACAGGCACACACTGAAAGAGAGACACTGTTTTACTCCTTCTGTTTATTTTTGCAGATTGTGATATATTTTGTAATTTTTAGGAAACAGAATATATGTTTTAGCTTTCTTAGAAATAGAGAAATCTAATCCAGTACCTTTAGTTTAGCTGAATGCCTCATTCTGCTTATCAGTCCATGCTTCACGGGTCTGTACTGATACCCGTCATATTTTCCAGATTTGACTCAGATTTCTTTTGCTTACATTTGAATAAATACAGCAGAATCCCCCCATTTCAATGCAAAATTGTCATTTATGTCACATTTACATCCCCTAGATATCAATGAGCATCAATCAAGAACAAAGTATTTTTCTTATTCTTCTAAAATGTATCTGTTGAGGAAAATAATCTCACACTTTGGATTTTGTGATTTCTCTACATTTTTTTCATGTCTTTCTCTTTTCCTGACCTCAACTAAGAGAAAATTTAGACTGATTGTTCCGATTTTAAATGTGTTTTAAATTGATACAATCACTTTGAATGTCAGTTATATCTGTAGGGTTGCAACAGTTAAAATGTCTGCCTTTTACATGGAGGCAGGTACAAGTCCTGGCCTTTTGCAAATTCCTTTTAGTTTGCTCTCAAATAAAAGGCTACAAAAAAGGTCTCAGATTAACACGTTAAGCTCTTTAATTCTCCTTCAAATTAATCAAGGCATAACGGAGATCAGGTGCAGACTAATATAAGATCTTCTCTGTTTATCCCATTGCTCATTATTGCTCAAATGTTTTTCTCAACCTTCAAATGTCTTGGTGATGTCTTGTGTGTTTCAAGCTTATTTCATTCTCCTAAAAGAAAAGAGAAGTAATCCAGAAACAAATGATCACAGAATGATGCAACTAAGAAACCCTTAATCTGATATCAAGAGATGAAATTTAACAGTAGATGAGGGACATATTTTTCCTATGTGCAGGTTTTTAAGTGCACTATATAAAAAGTAAACAATAATATTTGTTGTATTTGACCAACATGAAATCAGATTGAATTTGTCCTAGTTTAGGTCATCCATGATTACCCAGATAATTTCTATTTGTTAAATTTATATAAGAGAAAATAAATCGTTTGGTCATTGTCACTTTTAAAATGTCTAATAAAATGAAAAGGTATTGTAGACATACAGTAGGTGGGAATAACACAGCAAAATAGCAAATAATACAAATACACAGTAGAGATCTGCTGACAAAGGTTTTTTTAGGCTTTAAGCTCATTTTGCTTCTCTTTCCTATGCTTACAAGATAAAAATTACACAAAGATAACAAAAGTTACGAAAGTAGAGATTTAAAGAAAATAAACATTTATTGATTAATTAAAGAATACATCAACAATTGATAGCTGATGGGGGAGCAGCAATACATGTACTTTATGGGATTCCAGGGAGCAGCTGAATATAATGAATCAGCAAATTTAAGAACTTTTGGAAGAAAAAGAGAATATATGAGATATATCAGTCTTTTTCTTCCATCCATCCATCCATCCATCCATCCATCCATCCATCCATCCATCCATCCATCCATCCATCCATCCATCCATCCATCCATCCATCCATCCATCCATCCATCCATCCATGGCTAGAATATAGCCTACCACCATCAGCATTTGAATATACGTAGTGTGAAGTGTTTTAAAATACTTGGACTTGATACAGCTCTGTACTTAAAAATGGCTTTTATTTTGAAAAAACAAACAAACCTGCGTTCGGATAATTATCAATAATTATGTGTGAGTTTATTACACCCCAATATTAGCTGCCTATTGTGTGTCAGAACTGATGTTTTCCCCAGTAGTTTATCTAATTAGGACAGTTCCTCTGTCCTTCATTCTGTACGAGGCAAAGATTTTGAATGGAATGAGAGCAGCGTCCTTCAGCTAAGAACAAAGTGTAATATTTTGATAAGGCTGGAGCCATGGATGTCTCCTCATCTGCTAACATTTATGATGTAAAATGTGAAGATGTGACAGACTGTAGATGTATAAAAGGCTTCTGTAACTGTTTCTCGGGGCCACTTCCTGGGAGGTGAGTCCAGGGGTTATGCAGCTGTCTTCTGCAACCCAAAGAAACTTCTCTAATCTGGGAAGATTAAAAGATCTCTCCGAATCTGTTGTCATGTCTCCTGGTTATTTAATACATATTTATAAGTTATGAAGTGTTATTTAAAGAGTTTGTCCCGAGTGATCTCTTTTCAGGAAAAAGAACCGGAGACAGAAAGCTTCAAAGTGTAGACACAGAGCCCACCTTTAACACCTGTAACTAAAGTTATTATTTTTGAAAATATCTACGAAATAAAGCTAATTCTGGTTTATACTTTGTGTTTAATATTCTTGCTGTTAAGTGTTTTTCTTTTGATAATGATTGAAGTACCACAGGAGTAGGGAAGAAAACAGGAGGGAAGGAAGCAACTGTAGAACCAATACCAACTCAGTCTGGCTTATTCTAGGCATCAGAAGTCTGTCTTTTTATTATGTTTTTCAATTTTTCCCATAACTTCATCATCACTAGTTAAAATCTTAAACATTTAGAGAGTAGAAAATTAGAAAAATTATTTTAGAAATGTTTGTTCTTTCAAAATGCTTTAGCATCAACATTAGATGGTATCAATAACTGCACAGATAAAAAAAAACAAACTGGAACTCAGTTTGTTTTTCTCTTCAATGGGATATAATCAAAAATTTGAATGAAAGGTAGCAGGACAAAATACACTGCAGCCATAAAAAAGATCCCTCTATAATTAAAGAAAAACCTAAATCTAAACAGAAGTAAATGAGGATATGAGACAGCAGCACATTTATTCTGCACAGTGAAGCCATCAGGAGCTGGTGTCAGTGTAGCCAGTCAGGACACAGACACTAACCCACATGCACACAGACACACTTGCTTTCTATTAATCTAAGCTAAAAGCTAAATGGACACATAATGCCTCCACTGAAAGTATTATCTTTTTTTTAGAGAGAAAAATCCTGTTCTGAAAACTAGACAAACATGCACTCATACAAACACACACTGACTGCACAAAAATTCAAACTCACAACCTTTTTATTGAATGCTAAAGACCTAATGGCTCTCGCTGAACGCTAATGTAGCATTGGATTATACATGGAACTGTTCTTAATTCTCTTCTTGCCGTATCTAAACTCATATCTTTTCCTCTCTGGTTTGTTTAAGTAGATGTAACCAAAGCTTTACAGTTTTATGCCGGCTCAAATGCCATTTTATTGTTTAGAGGATGGTTTGCAGTAACAACATTAGCTGTGACCCTGCAGCCTTTGGCTTGTTTATGCTGCATATGCAGTTAAAACCGGATATAGTAAGAAATGCATGTAGAAGACGAAACAAATTCATTTCTCAATCACTGCCTGATTGGAAACCAGACTGAACTTTTGCTTTTACAGGGTCAGTTAAGATCATTAGAAAAAATCTGTATCAGCTAAATGTCTTTGCTTTTCTTAGTCTTAGTCTTGTGCATCAGCGCAAACTTCTTCGTCCAACACCGAGGTCACTGAGAGGGCCTACTATTCTTTTAGAAATTCTTTAAAATAATAAATCACTTGTGAACCTGCAGTTTGAGAGTGAAATGCTCTGTTATGAACATAAGGAATTATCAGATTCCTGATAGCAATGTAAGGCTGTATATCTGAAGAGAAGGACTAATTCTGGATTTAACAGGAAACCAAAGAAGAGAAGCTAAGATAGGAGAATATAATTTCTCTTTTTAATTTTCATCAGCACTACAGCTTGTGGACTTCCTGATAAAGAATTACAATAGTCCAGCCTTGAAGTAACAAATGCATGGACTAGTTTCTCAGCATCGCCCCTGGACAGGGCCGTACGCAGGGCCCAAAAATACTGAGGTCAAGAGGCAGAACTTCTAGTCATTGTGACTTTTGGAAAGACTCAGCTGTGAATTCCTAGTCTCCTGTCTCTCCTGCCAGACATTTCAGACAGTATAGACTGATTTTCATGTCATCTTTCTTTTGAAGCTTCAGTCTACAACTGGCTAGAAATGTGTCACAAAATATATTCCAGTATAATTGAAATTAGTTTCATCATATTTACTTGAGTCTTGAAATGGACACCTAGACCTAATACAATATCATGTTGATGATGGTGCCTAATATAACATATTTCTATCATAATCTTACACAATGCTTCAATTATCAGCATTTACACGTCCTACTTTTAAAACAGTTCAGGCGTAGTATCTTCTTACGGCTCCTCCTGCTGCTGGGTCCAAAGAGGAGCTCTGTTTGATTGGGCCTTATCCTGTTTTTCCCTTGGTGACGCATATCAACACAGTAAATAATAAACTGCTAGAAATGAAAACAATATGCATTTCACAACATCAGGTTTAATTAGTTTGTCATTTCAACACATTAAAATATATGAAACTACATTAGTTTCCCTGCTTCCAGAGCAGCCCAATGTTAAGGTGTAAAATAGTAAAACTAGCTATTAACAGGTATGAATATAGTCATCTATAAACTAGATAAATATGCTGAATTCACCAAGAATATAACATAAATATAGTATTCTACAACATCACATCAATTGTAGATATAAATGCAGCATTTTGAGGCTTGTTGAGGGACCATGGGGAATCTTGAAGTAAAGGAAAGTTACCACAGAAAGCTATTATTGTGAAAAAGAACCAGATGTTCTATTTTGTGTCTGTGCACAGCTTCCTGTCCGACGATCTGCTCCCTGACGTCTTGCTGTGTTTGGCAGAAATATAAAACAGGTTCACCATCCCACTCTGAGAAAACAATGCTGAATAAAGGTTTCATTTACCGACAGAGATAAATCCACTATGGTCTGATGTTCCCTTGCTGTGTTTAGCTCACTGCACTAAAATGCTTCCTCATTAAATGTAGTTTTTCTCAGCATCATCAATAACTGAAATTGCTGTCCACCTGCATTAGTAGCTCAATGTGCTTCTCTTCCAGGGACTGACGGAGTCCCTGGGCAGCAGCTTGTTTGT